ATATTAAATAGGTACCATAGAGCACATAAAAGAAAGGATGAAATCCAAATGATCCAAATGGTCAAGCGAGAAACTTGCTCATGATCTGAAATGAGTAATTTAAAAAAAACATGAATATCTAACGATGATAAGACTATCGCTTAGGAGCTGAAAGCAACAAAAACCACAACCTCCTTAACCTTCATCAGACTATAAGCTGATTGATAGTAAGATATTGATCATAGTCAATCTGCTTATTTATTTACTTTAGAGCTGTAGTGAAGAAAATATCACGGGAAGCATGAATAAAATATCAGGAATAGTATTCAAATTCTTGGTCAGTTTAGCAGGAGTTCAAACAAATTTACCTGATAGAGAACAATTTCTATCATATCCTGAATTTGGGATTTCCAGAATCCATGAGCAGATACTATGTTGACTGTTGTGTCTGTTAAGGTGTAAAAAGACCTAAGCTTACCCCGTAATATGGGTTAGTACTATCAGACCCACTCCATTCTCTTCCGTTGTTTCTTGAACTTCTCCACAAGTGCTTTATCTTAACTTTCTTTCCGCTCTAAACAACTCCATTTGCGTGTACTTTGTTGTCATATCTATGATGTATCTATATCTTGAAGTTAAGCAATTGAATCAGTAAATCACGTAAACAATATATCCGCATAGGTGCAAGTGCAACCAAGACCTACACCTACTCACTAACATGGGCCAGCATTATCAACAATCAGCTATTACTTCCACTGATTGTCCACTTTTCCATGAGTCCATCCACACTGCATAACGATTCCAATGAAATTATGTGCACCAGGTAAGACTCCTCCAACTAGAAAACAATTGGCTTCAGATACAGCAGAAAAATTAAGATGACTAGATTTAGATTTGGATCTGGACTACAAACACGATTAGATAATGCTTGCAGAAAGGCAAAAGTAACCCAAACGCAGCATCACATAATGCTGTTTTGCTGAGGTTTATAATTAATAGATAATGCTTGCAGAAAGGCAAAAGTAACCCAAACGCAGCATCACATAATGCTGTTTTGCTGAGGTTTATGACTTAAATCAACTGGCTTCAGCTCAAGATCAGCACTCATCTCAATACATTTGTCATTGGAATGAGGCTTGGTGCAAGACAGTACCAATGAGAACACAGTAAAGTTGGTGACTTTCTTGGGTCAGTGCAAGGTAGAAGACAGGCTCTGATAGTGAGCCTCTTGCTAATTTTTTCTGGAGATTAAGCTTTCCCCGAAAGCAAGAGTGGCAGATGATGAGGCTTGAATTGGGAACCTTTTAGTAAATGAGTTCACATTGGGATCAAACTTTTCGATGGAAAAGCTTCCCAAACTTTTCAACAAAAGAAATGTTCCCATATATGTTTGAGTGAAGATTAAAAGCATCACTAGCCACATCAGCATTTCGGTGCAAGGCTAAAAGAATGAGAAATAAAGCTAAAAACAAAGAAGCATGCGGAAAAAAACACACTCGGACCTTTGACCAAATGACTCCACTTTTCCTTCATAACAACATTAAAAACTAAATAGATTTTTAATTTTTAAATCATAAAATATGAAGATAAATGACAATCAAAAAATCAACCTTTTACGCACTTCTTATCAGAGACGGATCCACTCTTGCAAAGTAGTGTCAAGTGATACCATATTGCTCTAGAGGGACTAGGACTCACCCCTGCTAAAAATAAAAAACCAATCCCATTAAAGAATAAGAAATAAAGCTAAAAACAAAGAAGCATGCGAAAAACAACACTCGGATCTTTGACCAAATGACTCCACTTTTCCTTCATAACAACATTAAAAACTAAATTGATTTTTAATTTTAATATTTATATACTATTTAAATCATAAAATATGAAGATAAATGACAATCAAAAAATCAACTTTTTACACACTTCTTATTAGAGGCGGATCCACTCTATGCAAAGTAGTGTCAAGTGATACCATTTCGCTCTAGAGGGACTAGGACTCACCCCTGCTAAAAATAAAAATCAAGCCCATTAAAGTACTTGGTGACCCCACTAAAATACTTGGTGACCCAAATAAGGAACTTGGTGACCACTACTGAAAGTCCTACAAAACCATGATTGCTAAGTGACAAACTAAAAAATATGTATTCGATTATGGTACTGATAACGCGATTATGTACGTTTTTCAAAATGTGTAAACTCGTCAAGGACAATTATAATTTTCTTTATTTTTAATTATATAGGGACACTACTTTAAAAATCCGATACACCGCTGCTTCTTATCCTTTCAAAGAACCACAAGTCAAATATGGCCTCAAATAACTAAAGGGTAGGATTTACTATCTTTACTGTCACGTGAATAATCAAATCTGATTTAACCAAACAATTTCATCCTTTAACACCATTCACCATTTTAAGACCTAAATTGCCCCCTTAAACCAGACTGAAAAACAAATTTAAAGCTCTATCAAAAGGAACTCTGTTGTCCTATAAATCTAAGAGCACATTTGGAGGAAAAAAAATAACTAAATCTTGAAATTAAAATAAAGTCAGGAAAACTCACAAAAGAACCTCAAAAAAACTAATCCCTATTTAATTCTATGCCCGCATCCAGTTAGAATAGGATATATAGCTAATATATTGTTTGCCACAGAGTGACTACGAATAAGATAACTGAGGTATGCCCAGGCCTGTACTCAGATATCTTAAAATTGCAGTGAAAGTTTTCTTCAAGTAGACAAATTTTCAATGGCATACCGAGATAGTCCCCAGATGTTATTTGAAAAAAAAAAGTCTCATGTGATCAAATATGATGAAGGCTTGACTTCTGATTTGCTCCTCTGCATTATGTTGATTATATAGACGAAGAAAATTTTGCAAGTTCTTGGTTTTGTTTTTGATGTTGGTGTAAGATTATACAGTGACATTTCCTATGACTAGTAAAATGCACGCGCATTGCATGTGGGCACACATGTTTAATATTGAAAATTTTAAATGTGGACCGTAAAATGATGAAGTGAATCGATGGAAAACTCTCGATTCATGCGTTTCAGCTGGTTTAAATTTGATCAATAATCATGGAACCTAATTAAAGGATATAATTAGAAATTTGTGCAAGCAGACTCTTAGGTAATTAGATTAGCTAACAAGCTGGAAGAACCTGAATGTGTAGGGTAATGGTACAAAGCAAGGAGCCAATTCATATCATGTTCTAATTTTAATTACCTTATCAGAATCTATGTTAATCATCAGCGTTTAAAGTTAAAACCAGTGTTTTTAAAGGCGCTCTCGGGCGATCGCCTCGGGCGCAAGGCGCTGCGGCGCAGTGAAATAGCGCCCCGCATGAGGTGCGGGGCGCTACAGTTACGCCAGGCGCGCGCCCGAGAGCGCTTCGCCTGTGTAAGGAAGGCGAGCGCCTCCGTTTTCAGGGCGATGGGCTTAAGAAATCGCGGGCTATCGGGTAGAAACCCGACTCAAGCTGCTACCCAAAAGGGTGAAAACAGATCTAACCTGTTACAGCAAAGAATTAGGGCTTTTTCAGTGTGATTGGCTTCTCCGACAGTTCCTCTCCCCTTCAACTTCGTGTTCGGTCTCTCCCCTTCAACTTCGTGTTCTCCGACGAGAAGCCCCGACGAGAAGCCCCGACGAGCAGCCGGCGGTGAGAACGAAACTGCAGCAGGTAATTTTTTTCCTTTTTTTTCTTTTCTTTTCTTCGGTCTTTTTCTTCGGCTTCGTGTTCTCCGACAGTTCGTTTTCTTCTTTTTTTTTTGACTTGGGTCTTCTGTTCCCCTTTATCTTCGGTATTTTAATTTTTTTTTAGCTGCTACAGAGTTTTCTTTTTTTCTTCTTCTCACAGGAATATTTAACTGTTAATGTTTTTTTATTTTCTTTACCTGCTACAGTGTTTTCTTTTTTCTTCTCCTCTTCTTCTCTTCTCGGGAATGTTTAACTGTTAATGTTTGAGATAGTAAATCAGTAAACTATTTTTTAATTGATAATAGGTAATTATTTAAGTTTGGTTTGTGGACTATTTTGATTAATAATAGGCTAATGATTAATTGATGTTTGATCACTTGATTAATAATAGGCTAATTGATTAATAATAGGCTAATGATTAATAATAGGCTAATTGACATTAGGCAATTATTAAAGTTCTGTTGACTCTTAAGAGTCTTAAGACGAGGTTGATCACTTGATTGATTGATTAAAGTTCGGTTGAAATGCGCAGTCATGAAATTATGAAATTGCAACAACATCGTTCTTATTAATACATATCAGTCATAATTGTTGCAAATGTGCTACAATTTGATTTCCAGTGCGAGACTGCGAGTATTGATTCTTGCTATTTGAGCTAGGTGTTGTGCTACTAGTTGACTTGAAACTTGAAATTTGAAACTTGATTCGTCATTTGTAACCTGTAAAAAGGAAAATAAAATTTAGCAATATAGTTAGTGATGCAATATATTAGTATGAAAATTTTGTGATCTGGAGTGCGTCTCGCTTCGCTCGGGCGCGCGCATCGCATTGCGCCTTGCGCATGTACGCGTAAACTGACTTTGCGCCCCGCATTGCGCCTCGCGCATTGAAAACACTGGTTAAAACAAAACATACAGACATAGAGGGCCGAATTTACTAAATACTTGATATCCAACATAGATTAATAGGGTAAAAAAAATTATAATCCTATGCATGAACAAATTTCTTCTGTAAACACAATACCAACATTAAAAGATGCTTTAGTATTAGAGATACATCTTTGCTCAATCTACACTAAGCTTCAAGCTATTTAAGGAAATTATAATTAATAAGAGCTTTTCCAAATAAATTTCTTAAACTTAAAGCTAAAATTGACATGATTGGATGATGGAGATATATCTCGTAAGTAGGGGCTTCTCACGTGTAGAAGCTCTTATCAATAGCATTTCCATAAAACTCTATACCATCTTTAATGCCATCCTAAGCACTTCATTTCTCAAAAATAAAAGATGGATGGTTGCAAGGAGAGGAAGGAAGAGAAATAAATCAAAAATAAATGTCACATATAAAAATGAGTTATTAATTAGAAGGTAAAAAGCCAAATCTTAAGGAGATATTACTTTAGCAATCAAGGTCTATTTGTAATAAAATGTTATATTTATCTTGGATGCATGTAAATATGATGCTTGTTGTGGTATTTATGGACAAATTTTCAAAACCAACCCTTTTGGGTTTTTAATTGCAAAAAACGACCGGTTTTGAAAATATTTATAAAAACCGACCTGTTTTCAGCCCCCTGGCTGAAAACAGGTCGGTTTTTGAAAAAAAATTTCCCAAACTTCACGGGAGTTCAACTCCCGTGAAGTTTTTCTCATAACAAAACTTCACGGGAGTTGAACTCCCGTGAAGTTTGGGAAAAAAAATTTCAAAAACCGACCCAGTTTCAACCAACTGGGTCGGTTTTTATAAATAATAGTGAAATGGGTCGTTTTTTGCAATTAAAAACCCAAAAGGGTTGGTTTTGAAAATTTGTCCTAGTATTTATATAACGTTTTTTGTCTGAAATCATGGGAAGTAAGTTAATTTTGTATTTCTAACTGTATCATCAAAAGGGTAATACAATTAGCATAATGCATTCTTAATCGTGCCCCTACTTTATGATATTATCATCAAAAATATCTTTAGTATAATGTATTTTTAAATTAAACCGTGAAATGTGTTTAGGGGGTGAATTTCAAAAGTATTTAATCTAATAAAATTTTAAGATCATTTATTTATTTTAGTCTTTTTATAATAGATTTTTAAATTCGCCTGATACTGAGATCTCTAAAAAGAAAACTAATCGCCAAATTGACTGTAGCGATTTAAATCATACTAAATTGACTCATTTTGACAACAATCAAGTTTTGAAATACACTTTCATAAATTCTAATTGAATTATGGAGGAACATACCACGCTAATACGTGTTTGAGCAAATTTGATCCTTAAAAGAAGTCAACATCTTGTGCTCTACTAATTTCTCATTCTAATTCAAGTGGAGTTCCGATTGAGCTTTTCTTTTGTAATTGTATGAATTTAGCTTGGTAGGTGTTTTGGTGAGTGGAAGACAATGTATGAGCAATTTATACTCAAAAGATAAAGAGAAGTTATATAAAGGGAAAATGAAAAGGGTTGTTTGTTATTTAATTGGGTTCATAGTTTATGCATTGATTCAAATTGAATTTTATAAGTCTTGACTCTACATTTATATTCTTGAGCTGAAATTTTGGACTTATTTGGAGCAGGTGCTCAAAAAACCCAAACCGATAAAGAATGAGGTGCATCATTCTCTAATTCTACTTAAAGTTACAGAAAGCGCTAGGCGGCCTAGGCGTTGGATATGACTCCTAGAGCTTAGGCGTCTAGGTGGAAGCCTAGGAGTTTTTCTATTTTTTAGTTTTTAATTATAATTTCTAATAGTCAATACCAATGTTCTGAAAAGCGTAGGCGTCGGATAACACCTGGTAGATTTCTTAAGTGGTGGTGGTGGAGGTTTTGCTGAACGTCGGGAGAGGTAGAAGAAGTGTTCATAGTTAGAGGAGGATGGAGGACGTGGATGCTATAATGAAGGAAATCATGATCAATAGCTAAAAGGTACAGTCCATGTAGGCAAACCACCTAGACACTCCCATAACCTAGGTGGGCAGCTTAAATACCGTTTGGTCGTTAGGCGCTAAGTAGGTAGTCAAGGTACCACCTAGGTCTAGGCATACGTCTAGACGGGCTAGGCAGAAGCTTTTCAAAAATATTGATTCTACCTTAGGTGGTCCCTACAAAACTCTGGTCCTCATATGGCTTAAACTTTGATCTCCCTCCAATGTAGTCGTTTCAACTTTTCAGAGAGGAAAGCAAGTCGCAAAGCCCCGCAACACGCAATTGAGGTAGCCCAAAAAAGTAAAAATTGACACTCTAAAATTATAAATTTAGATATAAGCATTTGCATGTAATATTAGATTATAAAGTATTGATAGTAATTATATTTTTGACCAAATATTTAAGGATAATTATTTAAGGATTAATTACAAAAAATGATATAATTGTGAATTATCAAAATTTGAAAGGGTGAAATAGGAAATCAAAATGAGTATTCTCTTTTATAAGTAGTATAGATGGAGAAAAAATTTCAGTTAGTAGGCTGTCTTGATATATAGGATACATATTTGGTGGGTTTTTTAGAACAACAGTAAGAAACGAAATATTATAGGAGGTTAAGATTCCCCTGACCATTATGCAAAAGAGTGCTTAGCAAGTGTCTATAAATACCTATTTAATTTAATTAATGACCCTGAAAGCTGCCTTAGGGGACTCTGGTTATAGTTGATTGGTGTGTATTTGTTCCATCTCTTAAATGGCAATGGAAAAGGACTATATCTACTTCTAGTGTTATCAATCAATTTCACTGGCCAGAGGGAATTCTCATTTGTGGCATCTTTCACGCGCCCATGCTATTCAAGATGTTGGAAAAAACTTTTACGATGGTGAGGAGTCAATTATTTGCTTGTTGACCTCTTCAAGCTCTGACTGACATTGCAGTTCCAAAACCAAGAAGTTATGATTTATGTGAGATCAAAACCTCACATCTAGAAACTCATACAAGCAAAAGCCTCTCCGGACTTGAGAGAGAAAAGATAGATATGATGGGAGCAAAGAGAACTAGACCTAGGGTATGGTATTTTCTAGCAATAGGGAGGGATGAGAAACTACATTAATTGTAGATCAATACTTTCAAAATCAAATAACAAAAAATAATAATAATAATAAATAAATAAAAAGTAAAATAAAATAAACTAATAAAAAAATATAAATAGAGTATTTAAATGTTAAGAAAAATAGAATGGGGTATATAAGTGCAAAGTTGTGAAAACTATAAATTATTTCAATGATATTTAGCCAGGAAATTAAAAAATTAAAAAAAAAAGACTTAAACCTAAGCCTTTAGTCCAAAGGCAAAACAACCCTTTACCCCCGTGTGGATTCCCCGCTACTCTTCTCAACCACTAAAAGGCAAAAGTCATCCAAGTCTTTTTCCAAAACTGCAAACACAAAAAGAGGACACTATTCATCATCCTTTTCCTCTTTTTGTTTTAACAAAACCCACCAAGCACCCTTTGACTTCTTTCTCAAATTAAATTCAGATTCAATTCTAAGTTTTCAGTTTGTTCCGCATCATACGGATATATGTTCATACATTTTACCCTCTATAAGTTTATTATATCAATTACTCTATATGTACACTAAGTTTATCATATCAATTACTCTATATTTACTCTATAATTTCATTTTATTCAAGGGGGTCATGGCCCCTTCAGCCCCTTTATAGCTCTGCGGTTGAAACTTCCATTGAATTACCGCACACCTTGGGGTAATATCGTTAGCCAAGAACTAAACATCATGACATGAAACAACTTCGTGTAGGCAACTTTTTCTATCTTATTCATTAAATTAGATATATATATATCACACATCTTCTATTTATCCAATCTAATTGTCCATGTAAGTTCCAAATGTCAGATGGAAAAAAAAAACTACTATTAAAAGTTAAGTGTTTTCTATAAATAAAGTAGAATATCTATCTATTATTTTATATACTAAATCAGCTTTCACTAGTTATGGGAATGACAAGTGCCAGTTCTTTTAGTTATTATTATAATTTTATTTCATTATATTATTATTTTCTGGAAATAATATCTATCGTATCTACTCTTTGATATCGTTTTTCAACCTTCTTATGCCATGCGCACCACTCCCTCCCTCCCTCCCTTCCAAACCCGCATCAACTCAGCCATCTCTTCCAAATTCCGGTGCATTTCACAGGTGACAAACGGGTATAATAATAAAAGAAGCCAAGTCTTTTAACAATTTGAATGACGCATAAGAACACAAAAAGCTTGTAGCTCAGAAACTCACGCTGAGTTTGGTAGTAGATCTAATTTGATTAAGCACCAGCGGCATAGTCGCCGTACGAATCAAAATCGTCGTCAACACAATGGAAGCCCACCTGCCACACACAAATCACACTCAAATCATCTCATAAATTCCCCAATTACCAAGTTTTTTATAAAAAATCACAATTAAAACTAACCAATTAACCCCAGTAAAAGAATGAACCAAATCGATCAAGTGCTGCAGCGCAGCAACAGGAAGGTAAGAATCCGCGGCAGGAACGGCAGAGGCAACAGAATCCAACAACGAGGTATCAATCGCCGGATCGATCAAGACGTCGGCATCATCCTTGATGATCTCGTCAGATCCATGGGAGCCAGATGACGACGAAGAGGAGTAGGATCTGAGGAAGGGATCGAGACCTAGAGGGAGAGGAAACCCTAGATTTCTAGGGTTTCGGATCTGAGATGCGAATGAAGGGGACAGGGGCTGAGATTGGGATTGATCGCGGTCGAGGGAGTTGGGAAGGAGGTGGGAGAATGAAGGGAGGAGGCGGTGGCGGGCAATGAGCGTGAAGCCTGAGGTCAAGCTCCGGCGACCGAAAGTCGCCATGGCGAATTTGGGAGCAGAGATCGGAAAAAGATGGTGCCTTTGAGGACTAGCGAAGGGGTTCAGGGCTTTGGGTCTTCGGAAGCGCACGCGGTTGGCGCGTGCACGAACCGCTAACTAACTCATCTTTGCTTGCGGAAAAAGAAGGGCTTTTCATTTGATTGCAATGTTTTGAATTAGTCCCTAAGTCATTGAAAATTGATAATAGGTCCCTTAATTCTTAAGGACGATAATAAAACGTGAGAAATATCAAATACTTACTACGACAGCTATCACCATAGCGAAGTATGTGCTTTTATGAGCCTCTTGACTCTTACTTCCTTCTCAGCGCAAAACGTAAGCGGAAACTAACAGGGGTTAATTTTAGAATACCTTCCTACCTACGCTCAACTAAGGAGGGTGTATAAAAAATCCTTCTCAACTAGGGGTGCATTCGATCCGCATACAGCTCGGATATGTTACTTATGATATTTATATCCGCTGACCTATCTCGGATATGGATACAATACAGATATACCTTGGGAAGGAAAATTCATATATATATCCGCTAAAATCGAATACGGATACTGATATATATGCGGATATATAAGCGGATATGTATGTGGATACAAAATGTATATGAGAAAATTAGATAGTATTGAAAAAAATATAGCTCTTGTGGATACAAAAGAGTTCATTAATATGCTCATTACATCTGAAAAGTTAAGATTAGACATCTTGAACATCAAAAATAACCTCAACTCCCAGTCTAAGGATTAATATTATCATAATAGTACGACTAATATGTATTCAGATATTTTGGATATGGATCTGGATATTTCACTACGAAACCATATTTGTAACCATAGCCTATCAATTATGGATTTGAGTAACCATATCTATATCATAACGGATACGATTATGGATATTTCCTCAGATACGGATATAGGCTCTGTTTGGCAAAAGTAGCTTAAAGCTGCGAGATTATAGCTGAAAGCTATTAAGCTAGTTGAAAGCTGTGAAATTGTAGCTGATAGCTGTGTAGCTACCTGATTGACTAGAGCTGTTTGGCAAAAGTAGCTGTACAACTAGCTTAAATTTGTTAAATGACTAAAAAGGACATGCAATATTATTGATATAAAATTAGAATTATTAAGGGCAAAACGGAAGAAGAAAAATTGACAGCCCCTTCCCAAAGACAAACGCTACTTGATGTAGCTTTCCAAAAGCTACTTGCAAAAGACACAATCTTCAAAATAATCTTCTCCTATTTTTGGTCACCAAACAGCTCTACTAGCTTATTGACCAAGTCAATAAGACACGATCTCTTAGATAAGACACAATTTCTTGTTGCCAAACAGTGCCATAGTTTAGCACCATGACTCTCAACAATTTTAATTGGAGAAAATCATCCTTAGTCCAAGGGTGCCTGTAGACCCCATTCCCCCCCCCGCCTCCACCCACCCACCCCACCCCACCAACGATCTAGATTTTTTTTAACACCCTGAATGTTTCTCGATTAATCGCCCAACTAACAATGCTAAGTCTAACATGTCATGTGAAAAAACGAGTGCCCTAAATGTTCCTCGATTAATCCCCCTAACTAACAGTGTTATGTCTCGCATATCACGTGACAAAACAATTGAGTTAAAAAGATAAGACGCCCTTCATGCATACAAAATTAGCCAGAATATTTGCAAGATGAGAGAAGAAATTAGATAGAAATAAAAGGGGAGAAAAGGAAAAATTCGGCACATGGCACGGGGGGTGGTCTTTTCTTACTAGTTTGGAAATCTTTTTAACGAAAAGAGGATTGTTTTTAAAAGGATATTCAAGTTATTTAACATTTTGAAGCAACAATGTCATGTGAGTTGGCTAAGAAAAGTGTGAAGATCGGGCGGGGGAGATTAAGACAAATTTTCAAAATTAAGAGTGGTTATCTACAATATCCCAATTTTGAGGGGGTTTCCTTGAATTAATACAATTAAGGGGTTAAAATTGAAAAAATGCTAGAGGCACATCATCTCAAGCACATCCCCAACCACATCCTCTCTATCTACAGTGCAGTGGGTCCCATCAAGTGTGGGACCCACTGCACTGTAGATAGAGAGGATGTGGTTGGGGATGTGCTTGAGAGGATGTACCTGTAGCACTCCTCTTAAAATTGGCAGGTTTTCTAAAATTAACCATAAATAAAACATACAATTTTTGTCATTGTAGACCACAAAGTTTTTAATAACTATGTTTACACCTTCTAATCTTCTTATTTCTAACTCTTTTAACTTGTTTAAAAAAACATATGTTATAGCCTAGAAAATCAACGAGTACTAATCTCCCTAGAGAAGCTGACATGTGTCTCACCCCTCATCTAATCAGACGAATTAAGGCAAAGACGACTCAAACTACTCATATAGCCGACTTTGTCGGTCGACAACTTGCGTGGCCAAGTCAAAAGGCGGTAATTGTTGGCCACCTCACCCTATCGACCGTATAGGCCGACCACTTGCATAGCCGAATCAAAAGGCAATACTTGTTGGCCACCTCACCCAATCGACCCTATCAGCAACCCGCACTCGTGACTCGCTATATCAGCCGACAACCTGCGTAGCCGAGTCAAAAGGTGGTGCTTCTTGGCCTTTGACCAAACAAAAAGGGAGACTGCAGTTACCTCGAACCCCTCGCTAGCCGACTGCTCTTGCATTAACTGCTCTGACAAAATATCATTACTCTAGCCCCCATAATCTTTATGACTCATCGGACCTAGTTAGCTCCAAGCACTTGCTGTCATTCGCTCATTAAATGACTAGATGACTCACTTTCTTCTGTGACCGACACCTGAAAGGTATTTGCTTACCCAGTAGTCTGACTGGACTCGGCCAAAGTTACCTTCATACCCCTTTGGTCTGCTATAAATTAGAACTACGTTGCATGGGGTAACTTCTTTTGCTTTTTGGCAATTTTGAATAACTACCTATACAATTTGTCCTTGGTTTTCTTACTCAATATCAAAATACTGACTTGATCATCGGAGGAACAACCGAAAAACCCAAACTCCTCACTCTCACAAGTTTTGCACGTGCAGGAAAGAATAGTGGACTCTGGAACCAGTCATCTGAAGGAGTTTGAGGATCCTAATTACTCACATAACTAATATAAACCCTATGTTTGATAACTAACATTAACAACACCCTTGTTAGATTCAACTAGAGTTTGAAAATCTTTACTACTATAAAAAGAGGATGGGGTGTTAAAACTTTTAACTTTATTTTTTGTCCTCTCAAATTTTGATAAATTCTACCTATGTCATTATCTATAATTAATCTTTCTTAAATAAATATAACATCTCATTAATTATGCACCTCCTCACCTTCCTAAATAATTATACTTATCAATAGTATTACAACTATTAATTGTTTAAAATAATAAAATAAAAATATTATAAAATAAGTATACACAATTATAGTAGTAACTAATTAAATTATTATAATAATTATTTATAAATTATAATAAAATTATTAAAATAATAGTATAAATAGAATAATATATTACTAAATACTATTAAGAATTATACTATAATTCAATGAGTGATAAAATAAATAGAATACATTTTAAATAGCATAAATAGTGTAATTATTTTAATAATATCATATAAATTATGAATTATACTATTTCTTTAGTATTATATTATTAAATAAATAAATTAATATTATTTTTAGAGTATTTTCTCAAAGATTATTACATGATACTGAATAATTTATACTTGGTAATGATTAAAAACTAATATTTTTATAAAAAATTATTTAATTAATAATAGTACTATTAATTATTAATGATATAATAAAAATTTATACAATATTTATAGTACTAAATTATTTAAGAGCATAATTTAAAATTTTAAATTAGATAATTTTTTTATAGTATATAGGTAGTATGATTATTTTAGTAGTATTACTTGCACTAGAATTATAATATTAAATAAGGTAAAACTACAGTAAACTGCCATGAACTTTTAGCATTTTGCAATAGATAGACCCTATGAACTTTCAAAATAACACTAAATTCCTAATAACTTTTTGTAGAAAACCCCCAATATCTTTTAGATAAGTTACACCAAACCCCCAATAACTTTAAAAATGCATTTTATGACATCTTATGGTTCTAATTTGTAGGGGTTATCTGTAAAATTCAGAAAGTTATTGGAGACCTTTTTTGAAAGAAAAAAGTCATTATGGCTTTTGTGCAATTTTTTTAAAAGTTCATATAGGCTGAAAATTTATAAGGAATTAGTGTACTTTATTCTATTAAATACATATAATGAAAAGTAACTATTGCAATGTATGGCAGGTATCAAGTGTAACTCTCCAGGAAACATCAGGAAAAAGCTAGCAAGATTAATGTAGCTTAGTTAATTTAGAGTTAAGTTAACAACTTTCAAGTTGGAGAGGCATATTTAAGAGAACTATAAAATTAACAGTTTTATTTAAGAATAATTTTTTAATAGTTTTATTTAAGAATACTTTTAGACTTGGGGACTTATTTAAAAAAGGTTAATAATAGGCAATTATTATAAGAAAAACATTCAATTACAATAACTACACAATAATAATTAATTTATACGTTGTTTAAAGTAATTTAATTGTACAACTTTATTTATTAACACGTTGTTTTATGATTTAATAAAAAAATCAACGTGCAAAGCACGTGCATTATACTAGTCAATAGAAAATACAGATTAATGTCATTTAACTAAGAAGATTAAGACTTTGATAGAATCTTTCCGGTGGGTGCTTCTTAAAAAGAACTTATGGTTCATGTATCTAATTTGGAAACATGAATAAGAAATTTAAGGGTCTAATTTAGTAATATGAAAATATGAAGATCTAATTATTAAAGAAATATGACAAAAAATAGTGGTTTTTCATCTGTTGATTTTTATATTTTTTTCCGATACGGGATTGAATCAGAGACCTAGGGATGTTAACTGCATTGTCATTGCCTCTCTAAAACACATACGCTATTCTTGATGGGTTCGGTGAGTGAGAAAATTTAATTGATGAGCTGTAGAGTTTCTGTACAATTCAATTATGGATACAGAAAGTCTCCACCCATTTGAAATGATAACAAAAAAAAAC